CAAATGGGAGTTTCATTTTTAGTTTTTTGAGGAAACTCCATACTGTTCTCCACAGTGGTTGCACTAGTCTGCATTCCCACTAGCAGTGCACTAAGGTTCCTTTTTCTCCGCATCCTCGCCAACACTTGTTGGTTGATTTGTTGATAATAGCCATTCTTACAGGTGTGAGATGATACGGCTTTGTCGTTTTGATTTGCATCTCTCAGATAATTAGTGACTTTGAGCATATTTTCATGTGCCTCTTGGCCTTCTGTCTTCTTTAGAAAAGATTCTATTTAGGTCCATTGCCCTTTTTTTTTTTTTATTGGATCATTTATCTTCTTTTTAAGTTGTATAAGTTGCCTGTAGCTGTTGGGAGATTAAACCTTTATCAGTGATAACATTTGCAAATACGTTCTCACATACAGTGGGGTTCCTTGTTGTTTTGTTGATGGTTTCTTTTGCTGTGCAAAAGCTTTTTATTTTGATGTAGTCCCATTTGTTTATTTTCTCTTAACTTTAATTGTCCTAGGAGCAGTATCAGTGAAGAATTTTTTTTGGCATATGTCTGAGATTTTGCTGTCTGTGGATTCCTCTACTAGTTTCATGGTTTCCCGTCTTATGTTTAAGTTCTGTATTAATTTTGAGTTTATTTTTGTGTATGGTATAAGTTGGTGATCTAGTTTCATTTTTTTTTGCTTGTATCTGTCCAATTTTCCCAATATCAATTATTGAAGAGATTGTCTTGACTCCATTGTACGTTCATGTTTCTTTTGTCCAATATTCATTAATTAATAGTGGTTTGGGTTGATATATGGATTCTCTATTCCATTGGTCTATATTTCTGTTTTTGTGCCAGCACTAGGCTGTTTTGAGAACAGTGATTTTGTAATACAGCTTGAAATCTGGTATTGAGATTCCTCCTACTGTATATTCTTCTTTCCCATGATTGCTGTGGCTATTTGGGATTTTTTTTTTCCAGATTTATTTTTGGAGAGTTCTTTCTAGGTCTTTGAAATATGCCTTTGGTATTTTAATGGGGAGTGCATTGAATCTCTAGATTGCTTTGGGTAGTATGGACATTTTAATGATGTTGATTCTACCATTACATGAACATGGTATGTTCTTCTGTCTGTTTATGTCTTCCTCTATCTCTTTTTTCAGGGTTGTGTAGTTTTCTGCATATAGGTCTTTTACCTCCTTAATTAAGTTTATTCCTAGGAATCTTAATTTTTTGGTGAGATGGTAAATGGGGCTGCTTTTTTAGTCTCTCTTTCTGTAAGTTCACTATTGTTATATTGAAATGCCATAGATTTCTTGGCATTAATTTTGTATCCTGCTACCTTGCTGAATTCATTTATTAAGTCTAATAGCTTTCTGATGGAGTCTTTGGTTTTTTTTATGTACAATATCATGTCATCTGCAAATAAGGACAGCTTTACTTCTTTTCCAATTTGGATGCCTTTTATTTCTTCTTCTTGTCTAATTGCAATGGCTAGTACTTCCAGTACTACGTCAAACAGGAGTAATGAGAGTGGGCATCCCTGTCTTGTTCCTCTTCTCAGGGGAAATGGTTTTAGTTTTTGCCCAATGAGTATGATATTAGCTGTGAGTTTATCATATATAGCTTTTATTATGTTGAGGTATGATCCTTCTATTCCCACCTTGTTGAATTTTTATCAAGAAAGCGTGTTGGATTTTGTCAAATACTTTTTCTGCATCGATTTCGGTTTCATTTTTTAAGTTCTAATGAGTGGCTCCAGAAAGAGCTTAAGGTTTATTTTTTAAATGGGATATGGAAGGAGTTTAATTGATGTGTGCAGTTTTTTTTTTTTTTGTTTGTTTTTTTGTTAATCTTCACCTGAGAATATTTCCCCCATTGATTTCTAAAGAGAGTGAAAGGGGAAGAGAGGGAGAGAGGGAAAGAAAGAGCGAGAGCGAGAGGAAAAGGCGGGGGGAGGGAGAGAAAAAGAGAGGGGAGGGACATGGATGTGAGAGATACCCCTCGATTGGTTGCCTCCTGCTTCTGCACTGGCTGGGTCTGGGGGTTGAACCTGCAACCCAGGTACATGTCCTTCACCCGGAATTGGACCTGAGACCCTTTCACTCCAACGTTAGGGCCGACGCTCTAATCACTGAGCAAAAGCAGCCAGGCGATGTACACATTTTTGAAGGAGCACGCAGCTTTCTCTTGAGTGACAGCCGGCTCTTAGGCATGGCAGGTGCTGAAGAAATGTTGTAGCCCTCATGGAAAAGCCGAGGACAGCCTGACTTTATGGAGGTGGAATGACTATCATTAACAACAACAAAAATGGCAATAAAAGCAGCCCAGCCACCTTGACTGAACCCGTTGGCTGGGATGACAGTGGACCTGACATTTTATCACCAGCATCTTGTTTTATCTTCACCCTGTTTACCAGGAGTCTGCTCCCTGCTGCCAGGGCTGGACTAACAGTGTCCTCCGGCAAGCCCTTCCCATCCCAGGCTGTTTATCCTCACCCACCCTGGGAGGCTGGGTGTGCCCCCCTCACAGCTGAGGGTGTGGTCCAGCGCTGGCCCAAGGCTGCAGGGTTGGAAGGTTGGAAAGGGGAGTGTCTGGATTTGAACGCGGGTCAGCCCGCTGCACCCCTGCTCTTCTCCGGGTCCACTTGCCTGATGCCTCCCCTCTCCCCCAGCTCAGGGGTGATGCCCCGCCCTTGGTGGACCTCTGAGGACAGCTCTGAATGGGATTGTGGGTCAGAGGGATTGTGATTCCTTTCCCTAGCTTTGTCCCCCAAACTTAAAATGATGTGTCACCTGGGGAAAAATAAAAATAAAAAACGGAGCTGCCATCCCAGAGGGCCTGCCTTGCACATCTGGTGCCTCACACGTTTGCCATGTGAAAACCACCTGTGGACTGGGCACTGTTTGCAAAGATAACAAGAAAGTAGATACTGTGACTTCCAGGCTGAGAGTGAACACATTATTGAGGATCAGCAGTGCTGTGTTGCCTTTTCTGCACCAAAAGCAACGTCTTCCTGCTGTGAATGGACTTGTCCCTCCCTCCCTTCCCTTTCTCATAAATGCCCACCTTGTCTCCTCGCCGGGACCGTTTGGGTCCTGCCTGTGCCAGTGCCTTTGGGATAGCGGTTCTCACTGATCTCCAGGAACTGCCGTTGCCTCTGACTTGGAAAAGCCCTTTGTTTCTAGGTGCCGACCTGGAATTCCGGCCCGGCTTCTGCGATGGGAAGGCAGAGCTTCCTGAGGGTGTTTGCCTGGAACAGGGCTCTGCTCCTTCTGAGGCAGCGGGGCCGGCTCCGGGGAGTCCCAAACCTCGAACCCTTCAGAGCTTGTGGAGGGACCTCTGGGCTCTCCTGAAAGTGGTGGCCATCGGTGGGTCACTTTAGAAATAACCTGGATTGGTTATATATTGCTGAGTAACAAATTCCCCCCAAACGAATGGCCTAAAGCTCTCTGTGACCTCGCAGCTCCTGGGGGTCAGGAATCCAGGTGCCTTGGAGCTGGGGGCTCTGGGCCAGGGTCCCTCACAGGTTGTGGCCATCAGGAGGCTCCACTGGGAAGGATCTTGCTGGGGGGGGGAGGAAGGGGTTGGCCCTGCTGGGGGGGTTGAGCTTGCTGATGGGTGGAGCTTGCTGGGGGGTGTGGCTTGCTGGTGGGTGTGGCTTGCTGGTGGGTGTGGCTTGCTGGGGAGGTTGGGCTTGCCAGCTGCTGGATGAAGGCCCCACTCAGGCCCTTGTGAGCTGCTTTGTCGAGTGGGCATCTCCTTCCTTCCTTCTTTGTCGAGTGGGCATCTCCATAGGGTATCTCGTGACACAGCAGCTGGCTTCGTCAGGGAGGGTGGGGGGGGGGAGGGGAGGGCAAGGGGGGAGAAGCTTCAAGATGGAAGTCACAATCTTTGTAGCCTGGTCTGGGCGTGGCCTCCTGTCACCTTTGCCGCCCTCTCTGTGGGAGAGGCATGCCCCACCCCGACTCAGGGCGGGCCTGCACACCCGCACCCGCGTGGTGATAAACCTGACCCAAACCGGACAAGGGCTCCTCGGAGTCTTGATTCCATTCAGTGTGACTATTTGAACGTTTTGCTACAAAAAAACCTTAATGGGTTTACTTTTGTGGGGCTGGCTGTCCCAAACTTTGCCAGAGGGGTTTTGTAATATATAGGTGACATGCTTTTAAAAATCTGCAACTTCCTGAATTCACATCTGACCTCACAGGCTATCCCCAGGTGTGTCTGAGTGGGTGAGGCTTGTGTTTCCCAATGGTGTTATTGGATCGTGTGATGATTTTCTTCCCACTCAACCCGGGAGTTTCTAATCTGTCGTGGGCTGCGCCGTGCTTGTGATGGAACCCATTCTGAGTCCGGGCCGAACTATTATATGTTTGCATCGTTTCAGAGGCCTCTCATCCCGAGCCCACTGGAGGCCCATCGCTGTGATGATGTTCCCAGGGTGCACGGGGACCGCCAGCCCCGTCTCCACCCTGGGGGTGCGGCATTTGACAGCGCGTGGCGACATTTATCCCCTTTAAACACCCACACAGAGGCTGATTTCCATAGATTAAATGTCAAGCTGGAAGCCGTCCGGGGTGATTGAATCTTCGAGTGTTGTCCACTCGATTCTCAACAGAGGCCGCTGGCGGGGCCCTGCCGCTCTGTCAGGAGCCCGGGGTGCGGCCCAAATGACCGGGGTGGGCTGAGTGCAGGGCGGTGGGTGCGGGTACCGGTACGAAGGAGCCCCACCCTCTGCTCCTCAGAGACAAACACAAACCGGCTTCCCAGGCTGCTGGCACATGCGCGCTCCTCCTCTGGGGCGGGAGGGCCACAGGCTTTCCCTGGGGCACCTTCCACCAGCTGGACGCACCCCGCACCTCCCATTTGTAGGACCTGAGCTCAGCCAGGCAGGGACCAAGGGGTTGAAGCCCACTGCCCAAGAGGGGGAGGAGAGCCGCTGATTGGCCAGCCCAGCCGCTGGGTTGCAATGGGGTGGCAGGCGCAGTTAAGTAGGGAGTTTCACACAGACCCTGTGGGGAATCTCCTGTTCTAGAGCCCTCCGCTCCCCCAGGGGCTGTTGGCATTGTGGATCTCCCGGGACAGGAGCGTCACCCCTCCTGAGGACAGGCCGGCGCGCCCAGTCCACAGTCTCATTACAGACAGCCGAGTGATGGGCTGGAAGCAGCATTAAAGGGCCTGGACAAACCCTTCAACATCAACTCATGTTATTTCCAAAAGCCATACCTTCACATTCCCAAGGCATCCAAAGAAAGTTCAGAGAACCAATGCTGCCTTATTTACTGTGGTGGCCAAGGAGGAGTGTTAGGAGAATGTTCCGGAAGGGCGGTATTGACGGATTGACAATACCAGAGGGCCATTCTGTGTTCTTTGCAACATCCCACTTGGAGGGAGCTTTCTCTCCTGGGCGAGGGCTGGAGCCTGGGGTCCCCCTGCGCTGCCCCGCGGCCGTCCCGGTGGGACTCAGTGGATGCCCTGCTTGGGCCAGCCGAGCTCGTTGGCAAACGTGCCCAAGCAGCTTTTGCTCTCTGCTCCATACTCCAGGCATTTGTTCAGGCCCGGCACCCCGGACCGCCAGCCGATGAAGCCTTGGGTCGTCTTCGGAACCGGGGGCGAGGGAAGGACCTGGGAGGGAGACACAGGGTCAGTCACCTGGGCCGTGGCTGGAGGAGGCCCACGGAGGCCCGGGACCCGGGAGGCCCGGTGTGGGAGGATGGCAGGCAGGGCCCGGGCCTGGGAGGCTGAGGCCCAGCCTGGTGCAGCGCCTCAGTCATGCCACCAAACACGCTTCTGCAGCTGGTTTGACTCATGGCCGCCAGTGCATGCTTTTTATTTGATGAAAGAGCACACAGTGGGAAGAGTGAGGTGCAGAAATATCAAACCCCACCCTTCATAAAATCTATGTTGATACTGCCAGATGGGTTTTGGGTAGGTATAAACCTTCTGGCTTTGATTAGAAGGGTTTATGATGTGAGTACACACACACACACACACACACACACACACACACATGACCACAGGAGTGAAAAGCAATTGAACTTAATTAAAATCCGAAAGGAAACCCCCCACACCGTTTCATTGTCACTGCCTTGGACAGACTTGAACTTGGGGACATGCGGGTAAATGGTTAGGCAGTCCCCTCTCCCTGTGAAGCCATCGTCTGGCCTGCTCTCCCGGGTGATCTGAGTGGAGGAAACAGTGAGAAATGTGTTCCAGTGGAAGCACTGAGATGGAGAGGTTTAATATGCTGGGGTTATGAGTTCACGCTTGGCTACGGCATCTTGGCGAGGCGTGGCGGGAGGGGCGGTGCTGCTGGGCCAGCTGCCACTGGTGGAGGAAAGCCCTTAACATATGTTCTTGGTGAAGTATTAAGTTAATTTCCTGAGAGGCCACAAACAGGGAGGGTCATCCATACATGCCAGAGGGTCACAGTCTCCCACAGCCAGCGGGGTGTGCCCAAATGACTGGGGTGGGCTGGGTCTAGGGTGGTCGGTGCGAGTACTGAGGAGCTGTCCCAGAAAGGCCCTTGGAAACATGCAGACCTGCCTTCAAGCCTCCCTCCAACGGGTAATAGAAACACAACTGAAAACCTACCTCGGTTGCAGGCTCCATCCCTGGCCCAGGCTGGAGGGCCGGGAGGGAGGCAACCAATTGATGTGTCTCTCTCTCATCAATGTTTCTTTCTCTCTGCCTCTCCCCCTTCCTTTTGCTCTCTCTCTCTCAAAAAAAAAAAAAAAAAAAAAAAAAAAAAAAAAAAAAAAAAAAAAAAAAAAAAAAAAAAAAAAAAAAAAAAAATCAATGGAAAAATATCCTCTGGTGAGGATTAATAATGAAAAACAAATAAAAAAAACTACACCAAAACCCATCCAGGAGGCCACCTTTCACCACCAGATTGGCCAAGACATGAAAACAGCACCTTCACAAGGGCCTCCTGCGAGAGCAGGCTGGTTCATTCTCTGTGAAGGGCCATGTTGCCATTGTCTACCAAGTGGCCGCCTTCACCCTGAGTTTTCATTTCTTCCCATCATGACCCAGAGCTGCTTTCTCTGCAGCTGAGCAGAGGGCAGAACCCAAGACGAGAATAACGGGCCCATGACAAGAGGTCCAGGGACCTACGGAGCTGAGCAATTTCTCATCTCTGATCCGCCTCCAGGGCTGACTGGCCTCAGTGGGAACACTTTCAGTTCTTCTCCCTCTGGGATGGTCTGTCCTGGCACTCACCAGCAACCAGAGTGAGCTCACCGCCCTGCTTTCCGCTCAGATTGGGTGCAAATCCTGACTGCTTCCTCTGGTACCACCTGTCCACTCACACCCTTTCCCGCCCCACCCCTACCCACCCAGCTCACCAAGCTCCCGCCACACCAACATCCCTTGCTGCTCCTGAAACATTTCAACCTTTGTTGTGCCTCAGGGCTTCCGTACAAGCTGTTCCCTTTGCCCGGAATGCTTTTTCCTGGGCTGGCTCCTTGTCATTCTTCAGTCCTCAGTTCCACAGAGGGTTTTCTGACCACCATACCCTCTGTATCCCCCAACATCACCTGCCTATTTCTGCCATGGCATCTAGCACAGTGTATAACATGATCCCAACCCACATGTGTGAGCTAGAGTCTTGCCTTTTAGTTCATCACTGTTTGCCCAACCGAGCACCTGGCCCTCCTCACAGCTATGGTCACTTGTACTTTCTGAAAGTGCTGGGCACAGGCCTAAGTCCTTCCCAGCATCCTCCTCTGGGCCTGACACCATCCCTGAAGAAGGTGCTTTCACGAGCCCCCATTGTGCAAGGAGGAAATAGAGACACAGAGAGGCCAGGCCACTTGCCCAAGACCACCAGGAAGTGAATGGCTGAGTGACCTGACTCCAGAGCCCAGCCTTTCCTGCCCTGCTTCCCTGCACTTCCTCAAAGTGTGGGATGGAGCCGCTCATTTCTTGGCTCCCCTCTGCCTCTTCAGAGCTGGATGCAGAGGCTCTCAGAGTGCAGAGACAGCAACCTGATGTGTGAGCGTGGAGAGGGTGTGGAGAGGGATGGAGAGGGGGGTGGAGGGGCGTGGAGAGGGTGTGGAGAGGGTGTGGAGAGGGATGGAGAGGGGGGTGGAGAGGGTGTGGAGAGGGGTGGAGATGGCGTGGAGAGGGGGTGGAGGGACGTGGAGAGGGGGTGGAGAGGGCGTGGAGAGAGCGAGGAGAGGACGTGTAGAGGGTGTGGTGGGGGCATGCAGAAGGCACTCCCCACCTGCCAGGAGCTGCTGAGTTCTGGCCTTTGGCAGCTGGTTTTGTGGCCCTGCACCAAACTCATGCTCCAGTGGGGCCAATTTCTCCCTCAGGGAAGCAAGTATTTAAAAACAATGTTGCAAACCTTGATATATTTCTCCACGGGGGTCACCGCCCGGATGTGGAACCTGGGGGGCAGTTGGATCTTGGGTTTTGGGGTGGGGGTTTCCTCTTCACACTCGATCAACTGAAACACAATCCCAGAGACAGGAAACCCCAGACTGAGACGGTGGACGTGTCCCCTCGGTCGGCCCCTAGAACCCCGCGTTTTACAGATGACAAAGCTCGTCCCCATTGCAGCTAGAAAGGGGCAGTGGGCCCTGCAGGCAGCTCACGGCTATGCCACGGCTCGCCCTGCAGTCTGCTAATCTATATTCCTGAGCACAATTTGAGGGGACTATAAGGATTATGGGCTCCAATTACAAAATGCCTATCAGGTTCAGGGCCAACCTTTAAAATATCAGAGAAGAGCCACCCATTCCTCCTATTAATTTTTGTTGTTGTTAATCTTCACTAGAGGATATTTTTTCTATTGATTTTTCAGGGAGAATGGGAAAGAAGGAGGGAGGGAGGCAGAAGAGAAAAAGAGAGAGGAACATTGATTAGAGAGATACATTGACTGGTTGCCTCCCTCACATGCTCCAACCTGCAACCCAGGTACGTGCCCTTGACTGGGAATTAAACCCGAGATCCTTTGGTGCTCAAGTCAACGTTCCAACCACCGAGCCACACTGGGCAGGACCCCCATTTAATTTTTAAAGCAATTTTGAACTCTTCAAGAATCCAAACTTAAATTACATATAAATAATATTAATATAGGCTCTTTTTAATACATATTACATTAATAAGAACTCATTTTTGCCCTAGCTGGTTTGGCTCAGTGGATGGAGTGTTAGCCTGTGGACCAAAGGGTCCTGGGTTCGATTCTGGTCAAGGACATGTATCTTGGTTGCAGGCTCCTCCCTGGCCTGAGCCCTGGTCAGGGCTCGTGCAGGAGGCAACCAATCGATGTGTTTCTCTCACATCGATGTTTCTCTCTGTCTTTCCCTCTTCCACTCTCTCTAAAAGAAGAAAATCAATGGAAAAGTATCCTCTGGCAAGGATTAATAATAACAAAAAAACCTCATTTTATGCATAAAATTTCAAATTGTAAAGTACTCTTAAGCATTCAACAAGCTCATGAAGAATGGCATAATTCCAAAGCTAGTGGGATGGGACAAGTTCAAATGGGGTTGACGCCACCTTGACTCGGGATCCTTCCTAGTTAGGTAGCGCTTATTTGGTTCGGCAACCCTCCAAAGACATGGGCTTCCTCGTGCCAGAGCTGGAGATGGCTCAACAGGGTGCAGACTGGTGGCCCCACCTCACGGAGCCCACACCTCACGGAGCATTTTGTGGGCCTGCGTGGTGTTTTGTAAATCTAAGCCACTATTCCAGACTTAGAAGGTTTTATTTAAACATCTGGATTTCTGGACTTGAACAGCTGGAATGGGCAGTTGGCCTCTCTGAATGGTAGCACTCCTTTGGGAGGACGGTAGCTGAGTCTGGACAGGGACAGTGGCTCTTTGCTGGAATCCCTACCAGTTCCTATTAATTATTGTGCCCGGCCCTCTTCCAGTTTGTTCCTTGTCTTGTTTAGGACACACCGAGGCATTTTCCCTATAATCCCACCTGTTAACTCTGCCTCACCGTCTCATTCCGTCAGGGCACGTGAGGACAATGACCCCATTTCACGGATGGCAAGTCTGAGGCCAAGTGGTGCCTGCCGGACCTCAGCTTCTCCCTCGATGCTCCTCTTTATTAGCTGTGTCACTTAGCACTTCTTTATGCTCAGCTTCCAAATTTGTAAAAGGGGCATAAACAAGCAACTGTCTGCACAGGGGTGGTTGTGCGGGTGAATGCACTGTTTCGGAGGCAGCACCTAGGACCTGCCTGGCACATGGTAAGTGCTCGATAAATTCAGGAAGGGTCTCAGAGGTGGCAGTCTTTGCCTATCACAAGCTCTTTAATTTTATTCTTGCAAATCCTATACTTCATAACAAGTTATTCTTGGAAATGATCAATTCTATTACCTCTGGACTTATAAAATGTATATTTACCTCCTCGAGAGGGGTTGTTAAAAATCCCCAGTTCTGGGCCCAGTTTTGCTGTGCTTCGCTCTCAGCCTTCAGGCGGTATCTCCTAAAAGAGAAAGTTCCTAAGGGCTGGACATTATTCAGAGAGGTTAAAGTTGGCAATCCCAAAAGGTCCAGGGGGGAATTTCACATTTGTCAATGTGCAGGCACAGAATGAGGTTCTGTGCCAGGAGGGATCCCGTCACTGAGACCCTCACAGGACCGTGAGGAAGACCCTTGCCTGGAGAGCCAGAGAAGCTGGCTGGACGGCACAATGGGTGCAGACAGGAAAGGGGCTGATAGCCTCAGGGGCCATCTGGGTACTTATTTTGGAGGCCTTGTGACCCACAGTGATGAGCATGTGTTAAATCATTAAGGAAGTTCATAGTAAGTACTTTCATTCTCAGGGCAATGACTGGGATGGGGTGAGGGAGGCACCTGGGGTGCAAAATGTAAGGAGGCACCCACTCCCAAGTTCCTGCAAGAGCACAGCCAGCACTTACGTGACCTTGAGCTTGAACCCTCCTTAAACATCACACCTCAGCTGCCTCACTGGTCCCATCCTGCTTTTACTTCACATGAAGAAGCTGAGTTGACAGTACAAAATGGTGGCGGATTAAGTGGAAGCTATATTGACACTATCCTAGGACCAAACTGGAATTTCAACTAAAATACAGAAAAACCATCCTGAATAATCAACTGAAGACTAGATGAAGTGAGCCTTGATAACCAAGGATGGAAAATGGAGTCCCCATAGACTGGTAGGAAATTTGAAAGTGCAAAAGGGCTGGCTAGGCTCCAACAGACAGAGCCGAAGTTCTCTAAGATATCTCAGCTGTTGGGGGTTCCACTGAGAACTCTTGGGTCTAAATCCCAAGCTGGACTCCACAGCCCAGAACACCAGAACTGAGAAAGGTGCCCACATCACATCTGGCTGTGAAAAGCAGGGGGTTGCTGTCTGCCAAGGAGAGACAGCTGGCACCCTCTTAAAGTACCAATCACAGAATTTCCTGTGCAGCCACTCACCCTGGGCTCTAGCAGAGGGAGGAGAGAGTGGATTAGAGTGGTGTGAGGAGCATCCAGAGTTGAGGGCTCTGGGGTTAGAGCTCAGAAGGCAGCTACTATGGATTCCTGTGCTGACTCATTCCCTCATACTGCAGAGAACATTTTTTGGGGGGCAGACCTTTATCATCCAGGCAGCTTTTTCTTGGGGGACAGGGTAAGAAATTGCCCCACCCTGTTGGAAAACCTCTCACCCACTCAGTGGTGTTTCTGAGGCTCATTTTTCCTCATGAAAGGAAAACTCATGCAAGTTCAAGAGGCACAGAGAGTCCCAAGTAAGAAGAACCCAAACAGGCCCATGCCCAGACACATAATTAAAATGCCATAAATTAAAGACAAAGAGAGAATCTTAAGGGCAGCAAGAGAAAAGCAAACTGTTACCTACAAAGGAGCTCCCATAAGGTGGTCAGCTGATTTTGTATGAAAAACTGTATAGGCCAGAAGGGAATGGCATGAAATATTCAGGGTAATGAAAAGTAAGGATCTGAAACCAAGATTACTATATCTAGCAAGACTATAATTCAAAATAGATGGTGAAATAAAGAGCTTCCCAGACAGAAAAAAAAGGCTAAAGGAGTTTATCACCACCAAACCAGCACTGTAAGAAATACTAAAGGGACTGTTGTAATAAGAAGAATAGAAAGAAAAACAGAGACATAAAGAATTAAAATGGCCGATACCAGTTTGGCTCAGTGAATAGAGCATTGGTCTGTGGACTGAAAGATCCCAGGTTCAATTCCGGTCAAGGGCATGTACATTGGTTGTGGGCACATCCCCAGTAGGAGGTGTGCAGGAGGCAGCTGGTTGATGTTTCTCTCTCATCGATGTTTCTAGCTCTCTATCCCTCTCCCTTCCTCTCTGTAAAAAATCAATAAAATAGATTTTAAAAAAAGAATTGAAATGACAATAAATAACTACCTATTAATAATAATTAAATGTAAATGGACTAAATGCTCTAGTCAAAAGACATAGGGGTAGGAGAATAAATAAGAAAACATGACCCAAATATTGTATATGCTGTCTACAAGAGACTCACCTCAGAACAAAAGACACACACAGGATGAGAGTGAAGGGATGAAAAATTTTTTTCTATGCAAATGGAAACAAAAAAAACGGGGTAGCAATAGTCATATCTGACAAAATAGACTTCAAAATGAAGGCCATAACAAAAAACAATAAAGGTCACTACATAATACTAACGAGATCAATCCAACAAGATTATATAACATTGGTAAATATACATGCACCTAATATAAGTGCACCTAAATATATAAATAAACTTCTGGAGGAATTTAGGGAAGAGATGAACAGCAATACAGTCATAGTAGGCAGCTGTGTATTTTATGCCAAATAATGTTGGCTTTCCATTTTCAAGAGTGATGCAAAGTTTCTTATAAAAATAAATGTATCAAATGAAACAAAGTCAGTTTAAAGAAAAATATTAGTGACTGTTATAGGTTAATAATGGTAAAAGTCATATTGAGGACAAACAGGATAACTGAAGTTTAAGAGGCAAACATTTATGGTTTGTTGTTACTAAAGTTTACTTACTGGCCTCTACACTGGTAACTTCCCATACGAGTAAACACTTCAAGGAGATGGGATAATGCTTAGCAGTCGAAGAGAATGCCAAGTAAAAACAACCATTACACATGTCTGCTGAATATAAATCTGATAGAAAATGAATCTAGTCTTTAAATTAAAATCTCTGATTACTTAAAATGCCAGGAAAAGCAAGCGAGAACCTAAAGTGTGTATGTATTTCTCATTCAAAATGAACAAATAAGAGATTTTTGTTTTGTTCCCCTTTTTAAAAATTTGGTAAATCTCAAAAATAAGAACACATCTTAAAAATAAGCACCAAGGCTTTGCATGGTTGTGGAGCCGGATCTTTTAGACCTTTGTGGTGAGCTAAGTGAAGGCAGAGAATGAAAGGCCCTTTGGTCGACTGTATGTCCCTATTACTGCCCTCTTTTCTCAAGGCTCATGACCACCTCCAAGGCAGGGCGGAAACTGGGGAACTGAGGCCGCCAGATGTGCACACTCCAGGCGTGAAGGGCCCAGCTCACCGGTTACCGGATCCCCGACATTACCAGATCTTGTCCTGGGCCACGAGGTTCATGCGCTCGGCCTCCGCTATGCTCATCGGTTTCTGCGACATGGCTCTGGCTGGGGTCTAGGTTGCCTGCACGCTGCTGGTCGGGCTCAGCGTCTTGCGTCGTCCAGGCAACCGGTTGCCGAGAAACGGGAGACGCGGAGGCGGAGCCACACCTGGTGGAGGTGGGGCCCTGGGGCTTTCACCGTCTGAGAGCCCTCTGCCGGCCTCCTCCAGCTTCTGTGCTCTTCTTCGCCCCCCTCCTGCCCACCTGCCTGGACCTGCGGCAGAGTCCCCCCTGGTTCTCTGCGGAAAGCCCTGGGGAAACACCAAGACCCAACCCCCGCCTCCTTTACAATTCAGACCTGTGATGCCAGCGTGCACTCCGGCAAACCTACCATGCCTGGGTACCTCAGTCACTTCTCTCAGGGAATGAACCCCTGCAGCCACGCCTGGACTAGGGAATGGGACATTCCAGCCCACCCCCTTGCCGAGGGCAGAGCTTTGTTTGGCCACTTGGTGAACTTTGGGCCCGGCTGCCTGGGCCCCAAGTCATGTTGGGGGTTTGTCCACATCGCTGTGCGGGCCGGCAGGTGTTCACTCCCATTCGTCTCCCTTCCGCTGCTGCCGGAATTGGAGTTGAGTGGCTGCCACGACTATGACTATCACTGCACGGCCTCTGGAGAACGTGTGTGCATGTCTGTCCCATCCTCTCTATAACAATCCCCAAACGGAATCCGCAGGTCATGTCTCCCCCAGACCCTGCACCGCACACTCTCTCTCATGCCCATCCGCAACGACCCCTTGTCATTAGGGTGCTCACTGGTGTTAGCGGACTGACTCGTGGACCCTCAAGGCTTCCACCTACCACGTTGTCATAGGCCTGGCACTGGAGAATGGGCCTAAGATTCAACAGTAAGTGGGTCCATGGCAGGGGTTTGGGGAACATGGTTCTGCCTGAGCCGCCAATGAGACCTGCAGGTGTCCAGAGTCTCGTGGGACTGAAAGCAGAGGCAGCAGGCTCCGCTGGTCTGCGGGCCATCTCCCCTCAATTCCCAAGGCGGTTCTGCCGGGACGTGGAGGTTTTCATCTTCCAATTGGGCATCCGTGGTTCTCCCTGGGGTGTCTCCCTCGTTCTCTTTCTCCCACCTCCTCCCTTACCTACAGACGTGTTCCTTTACAGAGTGTTTGGGATGCGTTTTACTCTCATAACTATGTTCTCCAAACCCAAGGTATGTGATGCTGTTCCTGGATGTTGGAGCGGCTGACTGGGGTGTTCCCAGGTGCCCACTCAGCCAAAATAGTGAGGGGGTAGGCAAAGGCAGGAATGGAGCCCAGTGGGTTCATAGTGAGTGGGTTACACACCAGGCTCAGGCCTTGGCAAGTCTCAGGCTGGGCTGGATTGCCACAGGGTGGACGGGTGTGCAGGGTTTCCCCCCGGCCTTTTCTCTGAAGTTGCCATTCCTACAGCAGGAGGGATGATGTCCTGGAAGAACTGGGAATAGTGAGTGGCTGGCTGGGAAGAGAGGAGGATCCATCAAGCGGGAAGGCAGCGTCTGAGTTTCCCTCAGGAATCTTCTCTAACTTTTTTCTCTTTTCCATTTGCATGAAAGTTTTTTTCCCCCCATCCCTTCCCTCTCATCCTGTGTGTGTCTTTTGTTCTAAGGTGAGTGTCTTATAGATAGCATATAATTGGATCATGTTTTTGTATCCATTCAGCTACCACATGACTTTTGTTAGAGCATTTAATCCATTTACATTTTGGGTTATTATTGACAGGTACTTATTTATTGCCATTTTAATTCTGTATGCCTAGGTTTCTCTCTCTATTTCTTCTCATTACAGCAGTCCTTTTGGCATTTCTTGGTGGTGAAGTACTCCTTTAGCCTTTTTTTTTTTTTTGGTCTGGAAGCTCTTTATTTGACCTTCTATTTTGAATCATTGTTTTGCTAGATATAATAATGTTGGTTTCAGATCCCTGCTCTCTATTACCTTGAGTACTTCATGCCATTCTCCTCTAGACTCTAGAGTTTCTGATGAGAAATCAGGTATCAGTCTAATGGGAGCGCCTTTGTAGGTAACAGTTTGCTTTTCTCTTGTTGCCTTTAAGATTCTCTCTTAGTCTTTAGTTTTCCACATTTTAACTATGAAGTGATTGGGTGTGGGCCTGTTTGGGTTCTTCTTGCTTGGGGTTTTCTGTGCCTCCTGAACTTCTGTGAGTTTTCCTCTTACCAGGTTAAGAAAGTTTTCTTCAAACATATTCTCTTATTCCTTTCTCCCTTCCTGCCTCTTCTGGCACACCTGCTATTCTAATATTGTTACATTTCATGTTGTCTCACAGCTCCCTTAAGCTTCTTCCTGTTTTATTAAATTTTATTTCTTTTTGGTTCTCTGGTTGAGTGATTTTTTTCAACCCTGTCTTCTAATTCACCGATTCAATCATCAGCTTCCTCTAATCTGATGTGTATTCCTTCTAATGTGTTCTTTGTGTTATGTCATTTTTTATTTCTGACTCTTTTTTTTTTCATAGCTACTAGATTCTTTTTTATGCTCTTGAGCAGTGTTTTTCAACCTTTTTTGGGCAAAGGCACACTTGTTTCATGAAAAAAATCACGAGGCACACCACCATTAGAAAATGTTAAAAAATTTAACTCTGTGCCTATATTGACTATATATAAAGTAATTCTCTTGAATAGGAATCAAATAAACACAAAGAAAGTATTTTATAATTACTTTATTATGAAATATTAAGTAAACAAAATAGTGAAAAATTATAAAATTCTTGTCTTGTCTGCACCTATGGCACACCAGGCAACATCTCGTGGCACACTAGTGTGCCACAGAACAGCGGTTGAAAAACGCTGCTCTTGAGCATCTTTACCATAATTTCTCTGAACTCTGTTTCAGATAAATTTCTTATCTCTGCTTCATTTATCTTCTTTTTCTAGAGAATTCTCTTATTCTTTCATTTGGGGGTTGTTTCTGTGTTTCCTCATTTTGGCTGTCTTTTTTTTGAATATGTATTAGGTAGATCCTCTATGCCTCTCAATCTCTAGGGCAGGAGAGTGTCACATGCTGTTTTTGACTTATTAGATCAGGGAAAGACTCAAAGCCTCCAAAGATGGCCTCTGCCTAAAGACTGATTGGATTCTGACTTGTATTGCATCCTGTCAATTGTCCTCAGAGCCTTTTTTTTTTTTTTTTTTTTAAATATGGTGGAGCAGTTGCTTTTGCTGGAGGCTAGTTGTTAATTTTAGTCTCCTAAGTGGCCTCAGGGCAAGGTGTTTTCTAATAGGGTGAGTCAACTGTCTTCCCCTCAGGCAAGGCAAATGTCTGCTTTGTGAGGGAATCAGTCACCACTGGAAACTGGTGGTGTCTGTCTTCTGAGCTCTAACATCCCGAGTCCCCAGTCCTGGCTTCTGCTCCACAGCTCTAGTCCACTCCACCCTCCCTCTGTTGGAACACAAGGTGGGTGGCTCCACAGAGAATTTTGTGCATTGTTCCTTTAAGAGTGTGTCTGTGTTTCCACCTGGCTCTCCCTGGCAGATAGCAACCCCACTGCGTTTCTCAGCCAGATATAATGTGGCTACCCTTCTCAGTTGTGGTGCTCTCTACTGGGGGGTCGAACTTGTGGATTAGACTCCTGAGTTCTCAGTGGCACCCCCACTATGCCTGAGATATCTCTCTGGAACTACAGTTGCTGTCTGTGGGCACATGGCCAGCCCTTTTGCACCTCCCTCACTCCCACCAGTCTCAATGAGGTCTCCACTTTCAGTCCTTAGGTATCAGGTTTCTCTCCTGTGAGTCTTCTGTTGATTATTCAGGAAGTTCTTCTGTATTTTAGTTGTAATTCCAGTTTGTTCCTGAGAGCATGTCTGTACAGCATCTACTTACTCTGCCGCCATTTTTAATCTCCTGGAAAGAACTATTTAAAGGCCTATTTTAATAAAGACCTTTCTGAGGAGGGAACATTTGAGCACAGAGGGAGGAACCCCTGCCAAGGAATTAGAAGAGTTTTCCATGAGGAGAGAAGGGCAGAGTAAAGGCCTTGAGGTGGAACCAGCCTAGGCTGTTTGAAGAACACTAAAGAGGCCAGTGCAGCGTTGAGCTCCTGGAGAGCAAAGCCGGTGCAGAAATGGAAAAGAAGTACCATACCTCCCAGGAGGTCAGGCAGGTGGGGACAGGGATGTGAATGCAAGCTGGTGATAATGCAGCCTGATATATGTAATTGTGGCAGATGAATGTGATTCAGAGCGAGCCTCAGGTAAGGCAGAAAAGTGCAGAGAAGGTGATGAGAGAGTTGGGTTTTGAAGGGTGAATAAGGGTTTGCTAGTTCTGCCCATTTGCCTCAGACGTGGGGCGCCCTGGGGGTGGGGGTGGGTGCAATCCAGGATGGGAGATGGCTAGAGTGCACAGGCTTTGCACTTGGGTATGGGAGGGAGTCCTGGCTCTGCTGAATGCCAGCTCAATGACCTTGGATGGGTTGGCTAGCCTGTTGAGCCCAGTGTCCTCATCTGAAAAATGAGCTTACAGGGACCCTAGGAGACTGCAAGGAGCAAGTGTAAAGGGCTTCTTGCGGTGCCTGGAAGGTTGGTGCTCACGAATAAAGGGAGCATCACCGGAGGAACAGCGTGCTGGTTGTCCTGGCTCTGGGGCTCCCAGCCCAAGACAGTGGGGGATGGAAATGGGGCTTGGAAAGAACCTGCGCTTTGAAGACCAGGCGGTGGCTGGCCGGTGGGTTGGCTGGAAGGTGGATTTCTTCTTTCTCGAGAAGTAAGAGAGAAACCACAGCCACATGGCCAGGGACTGTTCCGTCATGGTGCCAGTGTTCACCTGGCCCAGCTGGTTGCTTCCTCACATTCTCATGTAATGGAGGAGGGATTCATTCATGAGCCTTTTGCAGAAGGGAAATGATCTCAAACAGCAGGGGGAAGAAAGAGGATCTGAACCAAACCCCAAAGCCCCCATTTTATGTAAACCCTAGGCTTGGAGGGCGCTCTCCCGAGGGGCAGGGCCCTGCAGGAAGACAGGGTCCACGTATCCTCCTCCCTCCCTTTCTTCGCTCATGAGGATGCCCTTTTCCCCTCTGGATTTCCAAGCGGCTGGAGCTTGGGGGTGGGTGTGGAATCTAAGCAGCGACTGGTTTAGGGGAAGGAGCTCAGGTCTGGCTTTCTCAAGGTAATGTCTGCACGAGG